TGTATATTATATATTGATTTAATTTAATTTTTGAGATCTTCACAAGAAAACAGTAATGTTAGATCTGGTGGTTATAATTCTAACTTTTTCCTGAGAATACCAGTATACCGAATAGAAAATTATTGTGGTTTATTTCATGTGTGGTTTAGATACATACCGTATACCGTTAATTCTTCTTCATTCTTGATACACCAGTTAAAATTATGCAGCTTAGCGCAACAAATCGTCCAACTTTTCCCATTAAAAATAAACAAATGAAAATTAATTATTCACGCAATTTACTCGTACACTTGCGAATATCATAAGCCGCACTTTTACTGATGAATTTATGGTAAATATTCGTATTTTCTCCGCCGTAAGTTTTCGTACAATCAAGTTTTTCCTCTATCCAACAAGCCTCTACAAATTGTAATATAATATAATATTAAAGTTAATCACGACATTTATTATATTATATATTTCAAGTTGTCTATTCGCACTTGTGTGTTAGTGATACACATCATCTATAAATTTCCCCTTGTCGCCATAGTATGTTACCATAAGGCGATTGCAAATTACCATAAAATTTTATGTCGTCAAAGTAGCTACGCTCCGATGAGGACTTTGTCTTTTCATCTTAAGGCACTAATAAATATCCAGCATCACTCCAACTAAAATAAATTATCAATAGTATTACAAGAAATTATCGCGTGCGTAGTAAAACTGCCGTTTGAGTGTACTGCGCGCCGCGGGATGTAGTAGATAGGATTTTGGTATGGTGAACGTAAACTCGTCTAAGTTAGCTATTACTATAACGACGAAATTAGGTTTCAAAATTGTCTTTATACGCTAAACATGCCGCGATCTGGCCTAATGAACTTCTTCTCATTCGCCATCAAAGTGCTCTCTCGACTAGATCCATCAAACATCTGCTTCTATTTGAATGACTCGTGTTGAGCACGTCACTGCAACAGTTACTCCTACGCTGTTGGAGTGTTGTTTTAACACTTCACACAATGAGACAGCTACTTAGTGAATATACATTTAGCCCTCTCGAAACGATGACAGAAATAAATGAACAAAGGGGTTCCAATTGTATATGTCCAATCGTTAAATTTTTCGACTGCATATCCAAGTGTTTGTCAGTTTATCTGCGCCGAAGTTCTTACCTCTTCGCCGATTTATTTGTTTATATTCGATTGTAATACGTTTTGATGCCACTTGACAACATAATTTTGACAATCCATAAAATTTTATGGACCGCGTGTGATTCGGAGTTCAGATGTGAAACACTTTAAATACTTACTTACATATGTATGTATGTTTGGCATATATCGAAATTGTCGATCGGTCTCGGTCGGTATATGGGAATGTGCTGGGGCGCGTGTTCCACTCGAAATATGTGCATCAAACATCGTTGTGGCATTAAAAGGGTTCGTGTGTCTTTAGGCTATTAAACTGATAGTTCGAAACGAAATGAATGGGATGACTAGTAAGGGAACACCTGAGTTTTGGTTGGCGAGGTTTGGTTGGCTTCCACATTCAGCATCTGTTTATAAAACATTAATTAATATTTCGAATTTTTATTTTTGTATAAAGTGCGTAATTTATGTAAATGGATTTCTTTGGTATCTTTTTTATTGAAGGTAATGCTGCTTAATCATAACAGCTGTTCTTCTCAAGCAGGACGTTTTCTTAATTCGCTTCATATTAAATACAAAATGGTTTCCGAACAAGTTTATTCCCTTTGATTTTTATACTCTTGCAACATGTTTCTACAGAATACAGATAAATCGAAAACCTATTAAATACTATAACTAAGTTACAAGCAGAGATACGAAACTGCAATTTGAAAATCTTTAGCCAAGCCAAGCCACTTAAGCTCAATCAACCAAACTTAATCAGAGCAAATATTTTTAGCATCTCCTTTGAAACTGTAAAAATGGTAAGCATTTGTTTATAACCCCGCCCACTCTTCATATAACGGATATGCTGAAAACTATTAAAAGTCCGTTAGCTCAATAAATCAAAGCGCCAATAACATACCAAGTTGTGCATCCGAGATGATGCAAAAAAGCTTTATAGGAGCCAATATAAAAATTGGACAATGGGCATGGCACTGCCCTTAATTAGGTGAAATCCCATCTCTCTGGACCAGCTAGTTTATATTCAACCAAATCAAATGGGTTGATAACTCGAACTTCGGTTACACTCGAACTTTGCCCTTCTTACTTTTATTCTTAACATTTATTGAATAATTTCGCTATTAAGAAAGCTTTATTGTGTCAGAGACTTACACTATTTTCGAATGAAGCATTAAGCTTTTGTTTCAAATAAACCGCGAACAACGAAATTCTCTATGTATGAAGGAATGTATGCGAAAGAAAATATAGGTTACAACCCCATAATAACAAGAAAAAACGTTAACTTCGGTTGCACCGAAGCTATAATACCCTTCACAGATACAAAGTTTCCTTACAAGAACTTGATTCCGGTCTAAATTCGTAAAGATACCTCGTCAAACAAAAAAATTTTTCCACGCAAGCACTTTATTCCGATCGTTCAGTTAATATGACAGCCATATGCTATAGTCATCCGATCTATACAATTTCTTCGGCGATTAGATTATTGCCTTAAATAATAAACATGCTGATCATTTATGTATATATTTTTTAGGGTCTACGACACTTCCTTCTAGGTGTTACAAACTTCGAGGTAAACTTAATATACCCTGTTCAGGGTATAAAAAAATGTCATGCTAAATATTACTGCAACTACTTGAATTGCAATCGCGGCACCACGCACCTGTTGACGCATGTACCTCATCATCAAAAAAGCGGAAAATATTTTAACTGAGCCAGCAGTCAGATGATTAAACTGTTAAATGATTGAAGAAATATGCGCCTGCGCAATGTGCAAGTCAATGCCGAAAACAAAGTGCGAAGACAACAATGGCTCAATAACCTGACCGAAAACGGATTGTAGAGGAATGTAATACAACAATGCCAATTCATTTAGCCTCTTGTTGTCGTTGACGAATGAGCTCATCAGTAGGTGTCGAGTGGCGATGTATGTACGTCAGCGCGTCAGAAGTTATTTTAACAATAATGAGATTATTATGTTATTCAGAGAGCGTAGAGCGCCACAAAAACATAATTTTTAGACTAAAAGGATGAGAACTTTGTAAAAATTATTAAATGAAATAAGAGTAGAAATATATTTCAAAACAAGTCGTTTTGAGAGTATGTGTTCGTTTCATCTTAAATCGTTATTAACTGGATGCGCAGGGAAGCTTTCGTTCGCACGCAAGAAGCGAGAAGGCAATATCACTCTGCTCCCTAGACTCCTACATTGGTTGCTACACAAATATACCGTCCTTTTTCAATTCTTACATACATACATACTCATAATCACACGGTGTTGGCTTGTTATGCCCCAGTATGATTAATGATGTTAAATTATGAACTTGCTTGTTCCGAAATGACATGGCATGCTGAAGTTAAATCTCAGTTTTGTTAAAGAGCTAAGAAAAATGACTTCATTAAAACCATTAGCGCCCATGTGTGAAATTCGATCAATTGCTTTGCCTTTAACCACGAACCACCGAATTGTAGTGAGCATACTAGTCAATAAAAGCCAGAAACAATAGAGCAGCATCAACAATTTCGCTTTATAAAATTTTGTAGAAAAGAAATTTGATTCATTGAAATATTGCAAAGTACGAAAGGAATCCAAAACGAAGGTATTCTATTAACAAAGAAACTCATTGAGTAGATTTACATTTTAGAAAGAAACTGCGATAATTAAAAGCAAAGCTATTTTAAGACTAATTTCTTTTTGTTCTAGGCAATAATAGTGAATATTTTTGTATCAGTCGGTAAGCGAGTCACAAATATCTGAAAAACTATGAATTTTGATACTCAGCAATTATATAATTCTTACGTTTCACCGGTGTAGTATAGGCCCTAAATGATTTTTCATTTTATCAAAACTCTTGTAATATGAATGTTAGAGCGGGTTGATTTACAGGGAGCCAAAAAAAAAATGGAAAAATCGCATATGCGGGAAATGTTCTGCGGATTATTCTGAACAACTTTGTCTAAGAGAATATGGGTCTAAAACCGCTCTCGAGCCAGCGGTTGTTTAGTGGAAGTTTAATTTTTCGGGATTATAAAAATTTCTTCGTCAGTTTTTGAGATATCCGCATGAAATTTAGTAACATTCATATGCGCCTGCCTGTAATAAAGAAACTAAGAGCACTTAATTTTGCAGTACTGTTCTCTAATACATGCCTAATGAAACAATTTGGAGCTTTTATCGGTTCACAATTTTTCCTAGAATATTGCTTCTCAGAGAGCTGAAATATTTTTGTTTCATACACATTTTCATTTGCACTTCTTTACATTGTGATGGGACTGTGAACTTTTTTGCGAAGACAACAAAATTGAGCGCCCAACTGTAGACACTAAATTTTCTATAATCAACTGAAAACAGTCGGCTCTTTTACTTGGTGAAATTCCAATTAATGTTATTCATGTACTGTGTTGGTCCCAGAATCGTCACAAATTCGGGAGGAACCTGGTAAGCAAAATCCTTCACCTTGAATGAAACTCACATTTTGAAGTTGTGAATAAACTCTCATTATGAAGTTAAGGAATTCTGCTTTCTTCTCTTAACAGTGGCAACCATTATACTCTTGGCAACAAAGTTTGCATGAATATTGGCAAATCAATGTAAATATGTATGTATGTGTATGTAGCACCCAACATTATTATTAATAATCTCTTAAATCTTATCACTATTTGTTATCGAATGCTTTCAATGCTTTCAATTCAACGATAGAACTACTTTTATCGAGTATTGTCGTATCGCTATAAAACGGCTGAGTTACGAATATGTTAAAATTGCATAATGTCCTGCATTCATTTGCATTAATTATCGAACTGTTTAGTTAAATATGCACTACGGCAACTATACATACATATGTATGTATTACTTATTTAAGTACTTGCGTATAAATATGTATATGTACATATAGTATTTGTACATAGGTATACAAAAAGTGTAAATAAAGCTCGCTCACATCATATGGTACGTATGTATGTATGCCTACATACGCCTTTGTTAGAGCGACTGGACGGCGGGCTCATTGGCGATTCGGTGAAAATACATATAAACACAGTCTGTGTGCGCATGTCAGAAGGTCAAATAGAATACGAAAGCATTACCCCACTTAGCGCTAGTAACGAGTAACAAAAGCACTCCCAGCGAACGACAACATCAACCAACTTAATTTATGAGCTGTCAATAGTCGAAACCATAAGCGCATTTAAGGCGGTGGACGCTCACATATGGACTAACAGACAATATGGCGTTTCGTGCATTTTCACGAGGTATGATAAAACATATCAATATATACATACTTATATTTAATTAAACACACTCACAATGACATAGAACGATTATATATTGAACCGATTCCCAGATTTATTTACGCACATATGTATATGCATATGTGTAAACTAACTAGGGCAGTCCGATAAGTGCTAAGTATAGAAAACAAAAAAATTTTGAAAAGTTGGCGATATATTTCACAACATTTTTTCGTTTTAGATTGATACCCTTCAGCCAGTGATTCAACTTATTTAACGCGCTTGAAAAAAGCATTTACTGGAAGCCTGAAAAATAGGCCTCCGTGACGGAAATAAATTTCTCATGCCAATCAATTACCTGCCGGGCATATGAATTTTTTGTCTTTGGTAATAAAAAGAAGTCGCAGGGGTACAAACTTTGCAGAATAGGTGAATGTGGCAATTCATAGCCTAATTCAATCAATTTGGCCGCGGTGACGCGCGGAGGTGTGAATTGCTGCATTTTCATGCTGGAAGAGTACAGTTGTCCGGAGTGAGCAAACGCGACACCCATCTCCAACACCTTTCTCATGCCCACTATTTCCTCCAGTATACGATAGACGTTGTCTTTTAAGATGCCACGTTCTCAGCTACAACGTACAACCTCAATCGCTCGCCCGCTTCGACATGCAATCAAAACAAAACTGCGAGTCCGATTCGGCCAGCCAGGCTAAGTACTTATCGTACCGCCTTCGTATATACGGTATTCATATTTTAACTACGATCCTGCGAAATTTCTTCAAATAATTATCGAACATGTGAATTATGAACGTTTGCATTATACGAAAAGTAAATACAAGTATGTTTGCATATGTGTCTAAGTGTAATTATTCATATTCAACTCTTATACAAGGTTAATCAAGGCCATTGCTCACTAGCCGCCGATCAATGGCAAAGATCACACGCTCGTCCTGCGATCATCATCAAATGGAAGGCATTTTAAAAGAAATGTCAAATGCAAATTCATGTTTTTGAGATGTAAAAATAGCCACTGATTTGACCTTTAGAACGTAAAAATATTGCAAAGAATAAAATCAAATTAACCTCAATCCTTGACTGTCAGCTAAGAGTTCACATCCACACTGAAGCTGTGAAGTATTTATTGTGATTTTCCACCCCAAGCACGCATGTGCAGGATATACATATGGTAATGTGTATCATTTGCCTACCTAAGAAGATTGGTCAGCGTTGGTCAGCGCTGCAGCTGGCTTTTCGTACGCACACTGGTTGCTTTTCTATAAATCAACCAAAGAAAGTGGAATTAATTGCAAAGCAAAGAGAGTTTTCTTATGATTTTCCGCTTGATTTCTGAAATTTTACACTATTTATTGAAATCTTGTGCGAATAACTTTTTGTGGGGTGATTTTATGATATTTTTGCTTGTTCGTCGCGTACTTTCTTGTTCACGATTTTGTCATATGAAATGCGTATCTGCATAACATGCCCTGGATTATAGGTTTGCATTTTGGTCAGCGTGAGAAAATGTCGGGTCTTTGAGTTAAATTTTCTAGGTTTTTAGATACTTTGTGTTGTATGCTTAGTCCGCTTTTAATGAAGCGCAGCGATTTGTGGTCAGGAAAGTTGTTTTCATGTTTCTACCAAATGCCTATTCATGCATAGAGTTCTAACAGAGGAAAAGTTAAGCTACAAAACTATGATTTTATTTGCACCCTAAATTTTAGAACAAGTCCTGTTGCCGCATCATAATTTACATTTAGCTCTACAAGCAGAACGAAAGTCGTAAGATATTTTCATAGTCCAGCCCAGTTAAACTAAAAAATCACTGTTTCCATTAATGGACGGAATCAGACAACAGCCAGCCAGTATTTAAAAAGGTTGTTCTCTAATAAACTCATTAACAAAGCAAAGTGGGGAATTACAAATATTTTTGATAAATGCTCTTGACCAGTAACCTTTTTAGGCTATTCACGCATAACTACCAAATTTCTTAAAAAATATATAATACTAACTATTTCTGATACGAATGAGCTCAAGGCATGTTAAACTCTCAATTAAAGTTTGCAAACTTTGTTAAAATACCATTTGTTTGAAAATATTCTTAAGTAATAATTTGTTTCTATAGCATATATTTTCAAAAATTTTCTAATAAGACTTTTTCGACCTGTTTTAACTTGAAACAAATTTCTTAGACTACAAAAGAAATAATAATATGATCTGTAATTGCAATTTGCACGGCGCTCATACCGCCCTTGTTTACACTAATTTATTTATAATAAAATTAGTACAGCTCCATCTTTGTGGATAAAGAGAAATTGCTTTAAAAATACCAAGTTGTAGACAACCTATGTACAAGTACATCTTCATATTGTACATATTAATATTGCTTACTATGCACACTGGCAAAATACAAAGTCTGACAAATTTTTCATTCGATCAGATTTTAAAAAGCGGAAAGAGAGAATGCTAAAAGAGAACACCAACTAACTTTGCACCCGCTGCCTAACAATTGCATACAAAAACTGAAAGCCACAAGGAAAACATTAAATAGCATATACAAACTAAAGCAATATGTATAACTGCTTTGGCCATCAGTTTAACCAGAATGACATGGCCAGGTTCATGTGGTCCTGGACTCTGGCTTTTCAACACTCATTCATAAAATTGAACGACGAAGCAACCGTGTGACTGGCTGCTGGCTAGCTGGTTCCCTAGTTTTCTTTTTAACTTACTATAGAAGCGCGCGATAAGCAACAATAATAACAAATGTAGTGTGCATAAAGCTAACGTAGAAGACTTGTAGGAAAAGAAATGGAATGAAGAAATTGTCGGAGAGTGTAGTACAGAAATGTTGATCGATACGTTTGAATTTTGATAAGGAAAATAATAGGTTTTGATGACATTAAGAATACAGCATATTTACGGATTCAAAGGCTTCTCAGACCGAATGTTTTTATTTTTTTTTTTTTGATTAAAATGTGAGGATTTGCAACCGAGCTCTAATGCACTAGGTGAGGCATATTGAACTTACATAATTACTCTCAATTTTCATTAAAAGTGCGCTAAGCAAGTTTGTACGCTAAGTCAACGGTATGCTAGAAAATTGTTTATATTTAATATTTTTCGATAAGCAATGAAATATTTTTTTAAGAATATACAATGGCAACCCAACTGAGCAAGCCTTTAATATGAGTATAAGTTGGAAAGTGTGAAAAAAGGAAATCAAATTCATTAAGACAGTAGTACAACAATCAGTTGCCCTAAACGAACAAATTCGAGCATAAAACGTAAAAGCTGTTGTTATTGTTGGAGTATCGGTATTAGTAAGAAAAGGAAGTGGCGGTGGTATAACCGCCCACAATAATGGCGTCCAAATACCTTCCGGTGAGTGAGCAGACGAGAGGTGTGCTTGGTTCGGTGACTGCCTTCAACTGTTCATGAAGTGCAAAAAGCCGCTCAAATAGGGTTGTCAGTATTTAACCCGAAAGGGTGGAGGTGCTATGCATACATATGCGCGAACTCTGCTCGCCGACGACCAGAACCTCGTCGACGACGATTGAGTCAGCAATAAGCAACAATCGAAGTTACGCATATACTCTCGATGGGTTGGCGGGGCTCCAAAGATGCTGAGAGCGCTGCGATTAGTTCCATTTTCAATGAAAGCACAAAAACAGCAACAATCAAACACAGACTGAAAAAGGAGCAATGTTAAGTTGAGCAACTCGATTCAAATCAAACAAACAAAACGGTTGTCCAAGCAATTACAACAATACGAAAACAGTATTGGATGCTTCGTGGGCACATTGACTCCAGCAGTTGGAGCAAAAGAGATCTCTAATGGTACGGTAAGAATAAGGCAACAGTAAATTCCTATACATCGGAGTTGGACAAAAAGTACTTTTGAATGAATGAAAAACAAAAGAGGTGAGAGCGAGAGAGCAAATGTGTAATTCTTATGGCCAATAGGGGCGTACACTCAACTTAAGCGAACCAGCGCACCGGCACATACTCAATTCAAATGTGGTTGAGTTTTCCGAGAGAGAAACTCAACGAAAGCTAATAATGAGAAGCAGGCAAACGCAAGTGTGCTCATCTGCACTTCTTTGCTGCTCGACTAATATATGTAGGTGCTCAATTCAATATTTTGAGTGAGTTTTTTTTTTGCCATCACTGAATACCAATTGGAATTTCGTTCAAACAAGAAAAGTATAATAACAATTCCAATAAGAAAATGAATGAAATTAATATGGTGGGGCTTGGCGTCTGCGTTGCTGTATTGAGGTTGCTTGCACAGTAAGAAAATTGTAAACCCCATTGCTCTTTTGACATGGAGCAAAACTGATCCCTGTCTGTATGGGTTAGCAGATATTAGCACCTCTTTTTGTATTCGTTATCGCGCCCTACCACATCGAACGAGGAGGAGCTCTGCGCATAGTGAACCAAAGCCAGCAGAGAGAGCTGGCTGTTCAGTAAAATAAAAAAAAAATTAACTTTTAATCAACCAACCCTGTCCACGATACTAACTCGTTTATCATCCAATTGTACGTCTGCTCCCCGACCGTAATATCAGTATACCCAGCCCCACGCTGTTTTGGCATTTACCTACATATATTGTACATATATACATACATACATATGTACATGTACATATGTACTCGTAATAAGGCTTAACGGTAAAAACCATCCAATACATAAAGATGTGTTCAGTGGCTGACTCAGTGAAACTGGCAGAACGAACGGTTCTGACATCTTGGACGTCTAGTGTGAGCACCACTAACCAGCGGCACTGTAAATATGTAAAGTATGTCATTTTTAAATGTAGAGCAAAGTGTTAGTACCAGTATTTGCCCTCTGAGCTATTAACTGGACTCGAAAGCCGCTAGCATCTCCGAAATTCAAAGCAAAACTTATAAATGTACATATTTTAAACAATTAAATGAATTAAAGAATTCTACACATGTTTGTATATACATATGTGTGTATGTATGTATATAAGTAAAAAATATTGTGAGCAGTAGACAGACACCTCGCACCACTTAAGCTTTTATTGACACACTTCTTCATAACGTCCGGTTTGAATTAGAAAATTTAATTGAAATATTATTAAAAACGATTGAAGCGTAGATGGAAGTGGTCTAACAAAAACTATAACATTTACTTAAGATCGAAGAAAGAAAGAGTTTTGCATCTTAGGCAAGCAAGAATATAGTATAGTTATAAGTCGCATAGTTCCAATGTCCACAACTTTTGGTAGTCTATAAAGCTTCTTTCACGTATTTAGATAGTATGGAATATGGGCGTGTACATGCCTGTTAAGTAGTTTGGCCACGAAATTTTAGTTTGCGTATTCTTTTCTTTAAGTTTATAAAACTTCAGGCTCTAGTGCATTTCTGTGCATATACCCATATAGCTAGACTTACACACAACACACTTAAATATCTAACTGTCATGCAAAAATCCAATTAGGTGGCCTAGTATATTCTTGTTACTGCTATGGAGTGAACAAAGGTAACATTAACTTTGTCACACAGAAACCTTAGATGTCTAATTATTTTTCCTTGCGGCTATAGAACATTGAATTAGTTAGATTGTAGAAATTGTAAGTCTATTAGGATTTAAGCTACAGAGTCATTCTAAATAGTAATTCAATTATACATGTTAAATATTATAACTTGGTTTGAAAACAAATGAGTAAGTACACACACTTGCATGGCTATTCGTAATTTTATAAAGTTTTTCTTATTCTTGAAATCATATGACCACTTGGGTGTTTCGGTGCTTTAACTTTAATGCTACAAACCTTATTAACCAGTCATTAGCGACATATTAGACCCTAATGCTGATTTACAATTAC